TTGCCCAATTTATTGCTTTTGGCTTATTTTAAACACTTTTTAACTTTACCAAACACTGAAAAAAGCTAAAAAGAGCTTAAAAGCAAATTTGATCAGGTTAAAAGCCAATTCAAACACCCTCAGTCTTTAAATTGGTTCATCCCTGCTGAGTTAACCAGGATTTTTTGCTAGGCACCAATTCCTAGTAAATAAACGCTGTTCCTAGGCTATATTCCAGCAAAGTTAGTTGAATTAATGTTGACTTTATTGCCAAGTGAGACTAGCTCAATTGGTAAAGCACCTCCACACCCGATCGTTGGGAAAATATGAATAGATCCTCCTAAATTAGATAGAATTTCTTTTTATTTTTTTTTTTAAAAAAGAAGAAATGTTGACTTCATTGAAAATTATTAGCCTAGCTAATCTTATAAACATCCTAGCCTCTGTCCACTTTTGCTTGGAATATTCCCTAATCACTAGCTAAAAATAACTAGGATGCTTGGCCAATATTAGCTATTTCTCTAGCTAATTATTTAATATCATGGCCTATATATTTGTGTCTATCAAGGTATGACTTCCTGGCTATTCTAGCTAGGTTGATCCTGGCAAGGCTGTCCAACGGGAAGGGACGGGACCAAATTAACGGAACGGGACGGGACGACATTTAAGTGGGACGGTGGTGGGATGGGACGAAACGGGACGAAACGTTCATCACATCCGGTCCCGCTAACAAACGGGATGAGACGGGACGGAACGGGACGGAACGGGACGGGATCGTGGGCGTTAAGTGTATTTTTTTTTAAAAAACATTTAGTTTTTTAAAAATTACTTTGTTTTAAAGTTTGCAACGGCTAGATTTTGATTAATTATTTAATAAACTTAAATGTTACTATGTTAAAATAAAAATTAGAAAACTATGTACAGAATTATAAAATATTAAAAATAAAGACTTGTAATGAAATATTCTAGTAATTATAAATTTATAATAGAGTTATAATTTATTTAATATAATTTTAAAGTATTAACTATTAAGTAACTAAAACAATTCATAATAAAATTCAATGCTTAGAGCCTTTTATTTTATTAATAGAACTTTCAAATCTCAAATACAAATATAATTCTTTTTAAAAGCACCTAATCTATGCATCCACCTTCTAGGAAAGGGTTCTGTTTGAACTAGGCCTCTTAGTAGCCACTTACAATTACCATACTAATATTTGTAAGCTCATATATAGCTTCTTTGTAACTTATCAATAATATCTCTCGGAAATTCTGCTGGAATTGGCAATGTTGATTAGTGTTCCATGAGCTCTATGCCGTCATCGCTCCCAGTGGTTAATATCTCATTAGAGAGAATAATATAAAATATTAGAATATTAGAAGATAAGAGATTTGAGAGAGAAGATTGATTTTTGTGGGAAAAAATGAAGAAGAATGGGGGTATTTATTGTAGAAAATAGGGCCAAAGTGTAATTTAATAAACTTAGGGGTTATATTAAAAGTTTGGGGGTAGGGGGTGTTTTGGGGGGTGTAGGGGATATTTGGACCGTTGGCAACAACTATTTTTGCCATTTAAGCCATTGCCCAACGACTAGTTTAAAAAAAAAAAAATTAATTTTTGGCGGGACGCGGGACTGGATGCGGGATGGGACGGGACGGGACGAAACGGGATGAAATGGCCGTCCCGTCCCATCCCGTGTCCCGTTTAACATTGGCCCATCCCATTTAACTTGAAGCGGGATGGGACGGGACGGGACGGGACGGCCCGTCCCGTTGGACAGCCTTAGATCCTGGCTTGACATAAGATGAAATAACCAATTGAATCCATTCAAGTTACCAAATAATCTTGCACAGCCATCTCCAATAGTATCATTAATCTTGGAAAATAATCAGTTCTATCCATTTAATTTAATTTTATTTTACTATAACATATATTGGCCTGATATGAGTTTACATGGAGAAACATGGACAGAGATAATTCATATATAATTAACCCCAATTTATTTAGAACCGAGGCGTAGTTATAATTATTTTTGCATGTACTATTTATCATGTTAGGTTTAGAAGGGCGTTTTAAGAGGTTAATAAAGATTAAAGTTATTCGAAAAATTATGATTCGAGTTTAGGGTTTGGACTACAAAATTATATTCTTTCACTTGCCATAAGTATTACGATTAGGATTCGCGAGTTTGTAAAGGCTTAAATTACTCTGTAATTAATTATCTTAAGATTTATATTAATTTCTCAAAAATTTATACTTTATGAGTAAGAGAATAAATATTTTAACATATTTAAAGCTTATAATGGAATGATTTTTACTAAGCAAGACTATATAAGAAGATATACACATAAAAACTAGAGTAAATTTAGAAATGCACGAGCACTATACGACAAAAAAAAATATTACCTCATAAATTGCCATCTTTTTGTGTATGAACGTACTAAAACTTATACCATAAATGAATGGCGCATGCAGCAAAAATTTCTGACCCCCGCATAAAAGGTACTCCTCATTATTTTTGTTACTTTTCTTTAACTTGTTAAAAAAATAATAATTGGTGTTCTAAGTGCAATCCAATAACAAAATTCTAATAAAGTAAAATATGTATTGTCTAATTATGATCATTTAGGATTAGCACTGACAATTAAGGAAAAGGGAAAAAGAATGAGGCCCAGATTTGTTTCAAATCCTTCTAGAAAAGGAATTAACATAAAAATGTTTGATTCCCTGGTTATTTGAATTCATTTCCATTCAAACAATGAAATGATTTTACAGTTATAAATAAACTCTTAAGGGTGAGACCAAAAATCACACTTCTCCTTGTTTTTCAAAGCATAGGTTTAGCCATGGGAAGAAAGAGTAATGGTCGGAAAAAAATTGACATGGTGAAGATACAAAATGAGAGAAACTTACAAGCGAGTTTCTCTAGACGACACGCTGGTCTCTTCAAGAAGGCTAGTGAACTTTGTACACTAAGTGGTGCTGAAGTTGCTTTAGTGGGTTTTTCCCTCGGCAACAAAGTTTACTCGTTTGGCCACCCCTATATGGATTTGGTCATGGTTCGGTCTTGATTTTGTTTTCTCGACACAAATTTATTGTCTACAAATTCTGACACGCCCAGTAGGACAATCTCTACCTCTCATCTCAATTTTTCAATCACCAAAGTTCAAGAACATCAAAATGGCTTGAAAGAAAATCAAGTCCAATCAAATCAAACCTCAACCATGGTCTTTCCTCTAAAATTTACCTCCAAACCAGTCGAATCTAACCAAAATTGGCTTAATATCATAAAAAAATACTAGAAAAATCAATTACAATAGATAAAGCTAAGATCATTACACTTTTTCCAAGAAGTCAAAAAGTCAATCCGGGGTTTGCCTGATCAAAATCCGGGTACAATAGTAGATTCTGACTATCCATGACCCTATGAGTTCAAATATATTATTAGTTTTAAAATCCGTGTCCAAATCGATTCTCAAAACTCAATTGTTTGATGTTCAAATATTTAACAAGGTTTCGCAATTTTTCACTTTGATTCACATGATTTTGATGTTAAAATCTAAGATAAATTGATAGAACATGATTAGAAAAAGATTAGAATCACTTACCAAAATTTTTAGATGAAATTCCCTCTTCAAAATCGTCTCCTAAGTCTAGGGTTCAGAATATTTCCAAGAATCCCGTCTCCCAGCTCTTTTACCATTTGTAGATGTCGCACTTGCGACAGTGGGTTCGCAATCAATTGCGGACTAGGGCTCGCATTTGCGAACCCTGATAGCCTCATAAAACCTCGCATTTGCAAGAAAAGGCTTCACAAATCGAAGTTGGGAGTTTGGCAAATGCGAATAAATGTTCGCAATTCTGAACCAAGGCAAATCTGGAAGACTTCGCAAATGCGAAGGGATGACACAATTGCGGCAACTGAGCCCCACTATCACCTTCTCAATTTCAATGTTGGTGCTTGCAATTACGATACCTGAGCACCAGCAACACTAGCAGTCAAATTTCAGTTCAAAACCATTCTGGAACATGTCCGAAGCTCATCCGAGCCCTCAAGGCTCCAGCCCAAACATCCACAAAATTGTAATAACATCATATGAACAAGCTCGCTCGATCAAAATACCAAATAACACCTAGAACCATGAATCAGACATCAAAATGCATGAAATTTTAAAAGAAACTCAAGGACTTTCAAATTTACAACCGCATATCCGAATCACGTCAAATCAATTCAAAATTAGATTAAATTTTGCAGACAAGTTTCAAATAGCAATACAGAACTATTCCAAGTCTCAACATAAAAATTCAAACCAGTTAGCTAAGAAATCAACTTCCGGACAAACCTTGAAAATTTTAACTTTCAAAAATGTTAGTTTTCGGAAAAATAAGTCAAATCACGTTAGGGACTTCCGAATTAAATTTCGGACATACGTCCAAGTTCCAAATCACGATAAGGACCTCCCGGGACTGTCAAAATACTGATCCGAGTTCGTTTACACAAAATGATGACCGTAGTCGACACAAATTATTTTTAAGGCAAAAATTTACATTTTCCTTAATTCTTCATATAGAGACTTTTCGTAATAACCCATCCAACTTTTGAAACCAAAAGTACTACTACTATTATCACAAAGAAAATTTCACAATAAAAGGAAGAAGAACTCCCATTTCATCATTTATTCAGAAATATAAGAACTGGTGCTCTTTGATATTGGTTGATACATACAACAACATACAGTTCGATTTGGTAAATTACATAAAAGCAAAAGTGCTAGGGAAAAAAACCACTTAAAACGGTGGTTAAGTTCATTCATACGGAAAGAGAAGGAGAAAGACCGAACTCAAGTCCCCACAGCTCAAATCCTCCATTCACAAAATCATAGTGACCTCCCTTCAACTTCAATGCTAGTGTTTTCTTCACCAAACCTTCTCTCACAAATGGATAGGTCAACAAATTTCCAAGTGACACATTCACAGCTTCATGCAATTTTTTTCAATTTACCATTTCTTCTCCTTTTATTTTATGTTCCTTTATTTGTCTGTAATACAAGGAAAATGCATTAACTGGTACTACAACCCAAATGGATAATGCTACAGAGGCTAATATGAACTTATTGGTACAAGTTGGTGAAAACTTGTCGAAGAAACCAGTTTCCAAAGAGAATCCTGAAACCAATGAGGAAGCTCTAAAGAAGTAAGACATATATCTGTGCACCATTATTCTTTATCTAGAAATGCACGAGCACTATACGAAAAAAAAATATTACTTCATAAATTGCCATCTTTTTGTGTATGAACATACTAAAACTTATACCATAAATGAATGGCGCAGCAAAAATTTCTCAGCCCCGCATAAAAGGTAGTCCTTATTATTTTTGTACTTTTCTTTAACTTCTTAACAAAATAATAATTGGTGTTCTAAGTGCAATCCAATAACAAAATTTTAATAAAGTAAAATATGTATTGTCTAATTATGATCATTTAGGATTAGCACCGACAATTAAGGAAAAGGGAAAAAGAATGAGGACCAGATTTGTTTCAAATCCTTCTAGAAAAGGAATTAACATAAAAATGTTTGATTCCCTGGTTATTTGAATTCATTTCCATTCAAACAACGAAGTACTTTACAGCTATAAATGGTTACTTTGAAAATGATAATTACAATTAGATTTGATTTTGTGATTCTAAAAATATGTATTATGTTTTTATGCTAGTTGTTAGGCAATAGATGATAAGTATGAGACTGGAAAATAAGATGAGAACTTGAAAATGGTGCGTTTAGGCTAACAGAGTGGTTGAGAATCGGGGCCTCGAGCCTGACTATACGGGGCCTCGAGGTCGAGCTCGATGCGCAGCTATGAACGGCCGATGAAGGACTAACATTTTTGAGAGCTTTGATGAAGGCTCTTTATGGCCAATAATGAACAATAAATGAAGAACAATAAATAGAACACAACAAATATAAGCAATATGTAAGCAATGAAATCAAGAGAATATGCTTAAGTTAGAGAGTAGAGAGAATGTTCTTGTATTGAATGTAGTAGTCATATCGTGTCTGCAAAAAGCAGTAAAGATCCCCTTTATATAGGGAGAGGAATCCCAACATAGTACATGTGTATTTATTACAAAGTAAAATAGCTGGTACAACTACTTAGCAATCTGGCACAGACTGGTACTATTCTTATAGGTGTTGTCAGTTTGGACCACGTGCCTAGGGAACTTCCCGTTTATTCATGATAATCGTTGACTAGTACAACACCGAAAACGGGTATAAAGAACACTTGAGGTCGAAACCTCGAGCTGTGCCCCCGGGCCCTCAAGGAAAGGACGTAATGATCGTGAAATCGGGTTTTCCAATTTCACCTGTATACAGATAGTCCCCGCATTTCTTAGAGTAAAACGATAAGAAACGATCTCGAATTCCTGCCCCTTCGGCACTTCTATCATGACGATAACCATGCCCTATCGGGCGATCGATACGAAAAGATGAGGTGTCCAACGGTTGCGTCCACACAACCTTTAAGAGCCTTCGAATTAATTACATCAGTTGGCTATCCTTTGGCCTGCACCAACGTTCGTGTCAGAACTTTATAAATACTTCTTCTTTCGCTCCTTATATTCCACTGCACCACCAAGCCCTCAAAAGAGTTCTTCCTACCTCTCCCATGTGTACTCTTTTCTGAAACGTAATTTTCATTTCTCCTCTGAAACATTTTAGCAAAGATGGAAAAAACTTACACCTCTGTTCCTCAGGAAGATGTGCCTTCTTTTTCCTCGTGCTCACCTAAGGGAAAAGCAACAATCCCCCCTTACGTTGGGTAATGCATTCCAGGGGCTTTTGGAACGACCTCCAATTTTAAGACCAAGAAACCTTCTTCGAAGCCGGGGCGATACGAGCCTGTATCCCAATATGTAAGTTCAATAACAGACATCAAAAGCATGAAGGCCGACTGTCGCTGGGGGGACGCAGTGTTTGTGGAAATTCCTTCTCGAGAGGAGGACATAACAACATACAGGGCTGGCTTCCTTGGTGTGTACACTTATCCATTTACCCTTGGCCCGGTGGAGCCATCCTCGCCTCCAATAGACCCTGTGATCCTCAACTTCTGCAAACGATATCGAGTAACTGTTTGTTAGATTCAACCTTCGTTCTGGCGCACTGTTTACATGACCAGATATTATGCGAACATGATTAATGAGGTGTCCTTCACTCTCGACCATCTGATCAGAATGTATAGACCCCGACTCTTCCGTGGGGGCCTGATAAATCTCCACTGTTAGGCCTCGAGAGCCCTTTTTTCTTGCACTGACGAAGATAGGAACGGAGGGTGGATACACCGCTTTGTCCGAGTTAGGACTTCGGACCTGATTCCAGCGGACATGATGCCATTCCCCAAAAAGTGTAACATCAACGTAAGTAGATGTGCTAATTAAATATTCTCTTGCTTCTCTTTGGGTACATCTTCCCACGAACTGACTCTTCTGATGACGTACCCGTTGTCGTGTACCTTAATGCGGTTAAGGACCTCTCGGGCTGGGTCAACTAGCTGGATTCGATTTGTCCATTCGTTGAGTGCGTGTGCCGTGATCTATCCAAAGCTCGATGGGAAGCCAAGGACCACAGTGAGTCTTTACTTTTGCTGTAATTATATTTCTTAGCAGAACTGCTGCCAACAGCGCCCTCAATCACTGTGTTTATATTTTGTATTTGTGCAGGTCTGGGGGAGGTCCCCCTGATGAGGGAAACACAAGTTGGTAAAGCAGATACCCCAGGATCCGACGGAGAGAAGAAAAGACGAAGGGAACTGTCGGTTGAGTCTTCGAAATACAAGAAGATCAAAGTGGAAGAACCTAAGGCTAATTTAGCAGCCTTAACTCGAGGAGTAGTGGGAGTCCCCTAGCTGAAGGTGAGGAGAAAAATTGATTCCTCGATAGTATCCTAGGGAGGGAAAAACCTGATTGCTCCTTATACTGCAAAGACAGAGGCTTCCAAGCTGGAACTTGGTGCTGTCGTTGTCCATCCTCGGGCTGAAGAGGCCATCGAAGAGGCCTTGGGTAACGTCCATGAGCCAGTTGTCAGCCAAAATATTCCTCGAGCTGAGGCGCATTTAGCGGTCGGTCCGGAGGAATCCAGTTCTGGAGCTCTTCGAGGACAAGAGACAACCCTGATTGATCCCATCTGTGTTATTGACACGAGTGATTCTCCTCCTGGACCGACCTTGCCTGCTAAGGAAAAGAGGGATGTCCAGAATAAAAAACCTTGCAATATAGGGGTGCCCATAGGAGATAAAGATGCATTTGAAAGGCCTTTAGCTGCGCCCGAGAAAATTCCTGAGCTCGATGCCTCACTCATTTTTAGTTAGATGGATAGGCTCTATGAGCAGGTAGTTCTTGTAAATTCTGCCTGTCGTCCTGACCTTCGTCTTTCTAACTTGTCTCTTTCTTAGTTTTAGTCCAGGGCGTTATATGATCAAACGTTTGCTTGGTTTCAAGCTGAGGTGACCCACTATGAGCATGAGAAGACTTATCTCGATGAGCAGGTTACGTAGCTTTTGTTTGCTTTTGTCTGAATGTTTACCAGATCTCAGCATTTTGACACTTTTGATCTGATTTGCACAGTTTGAGAAGAAAGAGTCCCTAATGAGGGAGGAGCTCCGAGCTAGAGACTCCGAAATTCTCGAACTCAAACGGCACATGAGTGACATAGCGTCCGAAATGGATATCCTCCATGGAAAGATGGACTTAGTCGGGCATCAACTTCATGATGCAAGGGCGGAGAGTGATAAGTATAGAGGTCTTCATACTGAGTTAGTTGTTGCGCTATCAGGGATCAAAGTTAAAGCCGAGGCACTCATATCCTCGCACAAAGAGGGTGTCATTTTAATAAATTCTCAACTTAGGAGGATGCCCGAGGAGGCCGAACTGAAATTGACTCGAGCCATGGAACATGCTCGGTTAGAATCTCAGAGGAGGACTCTTGAGGATATACACGCGGGGGGCATTAATATGTCTACCAAGCTTGAGAGGGTGAAAACCCTAGAGAACAAAACTACTGCCCTGCTTGCTCCTTAAGGTGTTTCGAGCAGTGGCTTAGGAGATGATGAGAATGAAGGCGGAATCCCCATAGGGAAAGAGGTCGTTGAAGATCCTAGGACCGTGGCAGGAACCGTTGTGGCACAACCTCTGAAGGAGCCGTCGAAGGCATAGACCCGATAGTAGATTAGGGCTTTATTTGATACCTCCCTTGTAAGGGCTTTATAGGCCTTGTAAACGTACCTTTATGACCAATATATTTAGAAGGCCTTTTGTTTTCCATTGCTTCTCATTTTTCCTTTGTCTTTTAGGAATAATCTGCGATGTTTTTTGACAATTGGTCTGAGATTTTGGACCTCGAGTTAGACCCTTGGTTTTTCTCTATTGCTGAGCGATTCACAACGGTCGAAGGTCGGCCACTCGGGACCCAGTCCTCGAGTCGGGTTATCGACTCGTGTTTATCGACCTTTAGATCTAGGAACTAGTCCTGAGATTTTTTGGGCCGACAACAATGGCTCTTATGCGTTGGGTCGGTACGACCTCTGATATAGATTGGCGTCTAGGCTCTTACGCATTTTTCCCTTGAGCATTTTTAGTTAACTATTTTGGGCTTGGTCTCCGAGTTGGATTTTGACTCGAGCTAATTAACCCTTAAGTTTTTAAGCTGGCCCTTAGGCTCTTACGCGTTAGGTTGGTACGACTTCTTAATATAGGCTGCCGACAGTGGCTCTTACGCATTTGCCCTTGGGTGTTTCTAGTTAACTATTTTGGGCTCGGTCTCAGAGTCGGATTTCGACTCGAGTTCATTAACCCTTAAGTTTTTAAGCTGGCCCTTAGGCTCTTACGCATTGGGTCAGTACGACCTCTTAATATAGGCTGGAAACAATGGCTCTTACGCATTGGGTCCGCACGACCTTTAATTTTAAGTTGGCGACAGTGGCTCTTACACATAGGGTCGGTACGACCTCTTATATAGGCTTTATTTTTCCCTGGCTAAAAGATTTTTTGAAGTTTTGTGTTCGCCCCACTCTTCAACGGCTTGATAAGAACCTAGATTGTGAGTCGTTATGTAGCAGTAATGAGCACCTTGGGAGGTTTCACTCGATGGCTGAGTTGTTTCGAAGCATATCGTTTGGAGCTGATATGATCGAAGCTGTTTTGCTTA